GGAAGGGGTAGAGAGAGAGGGGAAGGGATAGAGAGAGAGGGGAAGGGGTGGAGAGAGAGGGGAAGGGGTGGAGAGAGAGGGGAAGGGATGGAGAGAGAGAGGAAGGGGTGGAGAGAGAGAGGAAGAAGAGATAAGAAAAAAGAGAAAGGGATAAAGAAGGAAGGAAAGAGGGAAGGAAGGAAGGAAGGAACATTAGGTAGGTAAAAGTGAACTTGCAGTAATTCAGTTTTCATGGAGGCAAACAGATCACTTCCTGGGCAGAGCTGACAGAGATGGCTGCCCTCCGCCCCAAGGCCACCCCACCAGCCTCTCCTGTCACCACGCTGCTGCCCCCGCCCCTGCCTCCAACTACTTTGGCCCCCTGCCTGCCCCACGCACCCCACTCCCTGACTCCCTCCCACTCACTTGCAGGGTTCAGGGTCTCAGGGAGCCCTCCCTACCCCCACCTGGCCTGGGCCTTCTGGGAACCCACCCCTCACAATGGGACTTTATATGTCTCTGCGTGTCCGTGGGCTCAGTGACTTTGTTCTTACAGGCCCAGGCTCCCAGAGGACAGGGACGTACCTCACGCCTCTGTCCAGTACCCAGGGCCTGGGACAACGGTGGGCACTGCCTGACATCTTCAGGGGTCCCCGAGGCCCTGCTAATCAGGGCCTAATCTGGAGCTGGAGAATGAGATTCACCATGCAGTCCCMACCTGGGCTGGGGGCACCCTGCACACCCTGCCGGCTCTTCCATGGTGCCTGGGGACACCCCTTGGGGGCTCCTATCCTGGCTTGACACCCTCTGCACTTCATAACGTTCAGAGCTCCAGTGCAGGTCTTACTCTTTTTGGGATGGATGGTGTTGCAGGAAAACATCACTCATCCACTTTGCAGATGAGCAAACTGAGGTTAAGGAGAGAAACTGTGATTGAGTAATTGGCCCGAGGCCCCATCATGGTCCCAGCAGAGCCCTGACCAGGCCACCCAACCTGGCACAAACTCAGCTCCAGCTCTAAATTAGCGAAGCCCAGCCTGGGGGCATCTACGTGCCCAGCACTGTTGACCAGATTGGCCGGTGTAGACACTGCGCTGTGCCCTCCAGGGGTAGCTCTAATGGCCACACTCATGGTGCCCACTCCTRGGCAGCCCTCTCAGCACAGCCGTCTCTCCTTGTGGCAATTCTGTTTTAACTCTTCAGTTACAGACCAGGAGACAGCCCAGAGAAGGTAGTACCTTAGTCAGGGATGCACAGCTGCTAGGGGTGGCTCGGAAGTCGGAACCCCCTTTGCCTTGGGAGGGGGCTGGGAGACAACAGCTGGGGTGAGTTCTGCCGTCTCCGCAGCCCCACGGTACAGATGAGAAGGTAGGGGCCGTGGAGAGCCGGGCCTGGCCTGCGCCCCAGCCTCCGCGTACCTGGGAGGGGCGGTTCCTGGCCGAGGGTGGGCTGCTGGCCTCGCTCTCGATGTAGGCRTAGACCTCGGGCTCGCGGTGCTCCAGGGCCTGCGGGAGGAAGACGGGGAGCAGGTCAGAGGCAGGTGCCGGGGAGCCGCAGCCCCAGCAGCCAGCCTCTCTGCCCGTCACTGTCCCGTCGTGTTGCGGGAGCCCAGGGGCAGGCAGTGCCATGCTGGAGTGGCCACACTGCCCCACGCACTGACCCACCAGGCCATCTCTGTCACCTCACCTGCTCCCCTCCTCGCCCAGGGCCACGTCCTCTCTGCTCCAACCACCTCCTCAAGGACCTCAGCAGAGTACGTGCTGGGCCCCGGGTCCAGACGCCCACTCACCTGGCAAGACGAGGGTCCCTGTCTGCCCCGCCAGCCTGCCTGTCCTTGCCCGTGAGGGCACCGCCACCAGCAGCTCCTGGGTGACACTCACACCCACTGCTCCCTTGGGCACCCGCCCGGCACCCGCCTCACTCCTGGTTCAAAGTCCTTACCCCTTCCAGGGTCCCAAGCCCACCCCACCAGCCTCTCCTGCCATCCACACYGTTAGGCCTCCCCTGACCCACTGCCCGTCGGGGGCTCACGGATAACCCGGGGTCCTCTGAGGCCATACTCCCCACCCGTCAAGCCTGGACCCTGGGGGAGTCTGGAGCCCAGCTCCGGCTCTCGGTGCACCCCCCCCTCATTTTCCTTGTACTCCGCCGCTGCCCCTCCCAGCCACCTGGTTCCAGCCATTCCCACTCCCCGTCTGACCACAGCCCACGCAGCCCAAGGCTCCCTGGTGAATGGGGAGCAGCACTGGGGCCAGGGCTGGGAGCCTGGCCTCGAGGCCCCCTGAACCCGGCTCCATCAGAGACTGGCTCTCCCCAGGCTCCTGCCAGACTGGGAGCCCCTGAGGCAGGGACTGCGTCTGGTTTGTCTCTGATTCCCGAACCTAAGCTGCTCTTGGCACAATGAGAGCATCACCAAGTCAACCATGAAGGGGCCACCTCCCTCATTTGGGTGTATCCCAGGGTCACACTCTCTTGGCCCAAGCTCCAGAGGCCTGACCACAGACGCCAAATGAGACCAAGTTCAACTCCTAGTTCTAATATTTGCCAGCCAAGGGCAAACCCTTAAAAAAAAACCAAAAACTCTGTGCCTCAGTTTCTGCATCTATAAATGGGGGCTATCTTGAGGTCCAATGCAGGATTAAATGAGATACTATACACCAGGGGACCAACGCAGAATTGGGCAAATAGTAGGTGCTGAATGAGCAGTGATTGAATGTCTTGAAGAAAGCTATCATTGTCCTCCTCCCTCTGAAGCCCTAGCCTGGACTCACCCCAGACCTCACTGGGCTGCAGAGCAGAGTCCCCCAACAGCCTGAGCAAGAGGCGGCAGCCTTCCCTTCCCTGAGTGTACGTGTCAGATGGATGCCGGCTGGTTGCCAAGGAGGCGGTTTCCCTGGCAACAGTCAAGCAGGGGTTGCTGAGGCAGGCTGGAGAGACAGGTGGTGCTCAGAGGCAGGAGGAGGGCGGGGAGGTGGGAGGGGAGGAGGGCGGGTGGCGCTGGGGAGCAGCGGGGCATGAAAACCCGTGTAATCAACCATTTGGCACTTGGGAGACCCTCGCACTTCAAGGGCATCTGACACAGGGATGCTGGGGTTCCCCGGAGGTCCTGTTTAGGGGATCTCTGAACCAGAAAGAGCGTGGGTCTTGGGAGAGAGGTTTCTAACCTGCCTCCGTCCCGAGGGGGAACCCCACTTCCAAGGGAAGGAAACTTCCCAGGCCTTCCCTGACCCGTGCGGGTCCTCGCGCCCGTCCAGAGACCCGGGACGAGGTGTGCTGCTTGGTGGCCTGCACTCCCCACCCCTCCCCCAGGCCCGGGCCCCTCAGGTCTGACAGGCCGGACAGTCCCTCTGGGCTGGGCATTTCTGGTCACAGAGAGGGGGGAGAAGCAGCCTCCTGGCCACACCTCAGCTGGGTGGCAGATCTGGGTCACAGGTGGCCCCTTCTGCCCCGCCCAGTACATGTGGGCTGCCTAGCACAGGTGATCCCCGGAGGCCGGGGCTATCCCAGCCAGAGAAGAGCACTTGCCCTGCGACCCTGCAGGCCTCGGACCCACAGAGTGAGCGTGCTGTGGCGCAATGTGGGGCCGAGAGCAGCAGAGATGGCCACCAGCAGCTGCGCGTGCGGCCTGTGGCAAGGCCTGACCGGCTGGGTCATCGCACACAGGGTCTGGCTGCAGCAGCAGGCTGTGGAACGCAGGGTGCCGCCTTGTCAGCGGACACCCTGACGAGGCCAGTGCCCTCCCTCCACTGTGCCCGCCGGGAGGACGCAGGGCTGGCCTCTCCGTGGGTGGCCCGTGGGCTGTGCCGGGCAGGGCTGTGCCGGGCAGTGGTCATGGTCTAAGACTCAGGTCCTACGGCCTTTTGCCTCCTGCTGCCCAGGGTAATGGTGCCGACCTGCCTGGTCACCAGCCAAGCAAAGGTGTGGCGGCAGTGCCAAGGCCATCGCCCTGGTGGGCTGGGGCAGGGCAGAGTCAGCTGCCTTGGGCCTGGTGCTGGGTCCCTGGGTGGGAGCTGAGGGTGCTGCATAGACAGGAGCTGACTCAAGGGAGAAAGAGCACCTGCTCCAGGTCGGGGGCTCAGCACGTCTGAAGGGAGCAGCCCCCGGCTCTGACGGCGTGGGGACGGCTTTTCCAGCACTGTGTCCCAGTTGGGTGCTAGAAAGGTCCTTTGGAGGCAAAGAGAGCAGGGAGGGCTGGAAGAGAGAGCAGGAAGGGGACACACACGGCCAGGCGGAGCTGAGGGGAGGGTCCAAAGGCTACCCAGGGAAGCCAGCCCCGCACCAACGCCCCACGTTGGCCACGATGTCCCTCTGTCCTGCACCCGGCCACCCTGAAAAGGAAGAGACGATTCTGAGCACCTGTGTGCGCGGGGCGCTGGCTGCCATGGGGCGGGAAGGAGGCTCCAGTCAGAGACACTCACCGAAGCTGATGGTGGCCATGAAGGCTACCGCGAGGCCAGAGAAAGGCCACAGAGTCCGGGTGGGGGTGAGGGAAGGGAGAGGTCAGGAGAGCGCCYGGAAGGCCTGGGCAGAGAGCCGGAGGGAGACGCCCTGGGGCACAGAGGAGCCAGCAGGGGCGCTGCAGTGGCTGGGCAGCACCTGGGGACAGGAGAGCCTGGAGGTGGTGAGCTCTGACTTTAGGTGCCAGGGAGCTTCCCAAGGACCATGGTGACTCTGAGAATGACTTCAAGGACTCCATCTGCAGGGATCGGGATGGACTGGGCCCCAGCTACTGGCTCTGAAACCCKCGAGCCTCGTCCTGGGCTCTCCCTGGGCCCTGCTGAGGGGGACTTCCTGGTGCACATCCCTCTTCCCTCACGGGGACGACCCTGCAGTCTGTTGGCCCTCCCAGGAGTCCCCAGCTCCTCGCCGCCTCCCCGCTCAGGGACCTCTCTACCAGATCGCGGCTCCTCCAGTCCCCCCTGCCCCTCGGGGACCTGGCCACYGAGGCTCTGAGCAGAGGGGCACGACCTGTCGTGGTTTAATGGGGTCGCTCTGGCTGCTGCCATCGGAGGCCGACTAGGGACCGGGATGAAAATCGGCCCCTGATTAGAGACCCACAGCAGCTCTCCAGGCAAGGGGCGGGGGAGGCCAGAGCAGAGCCGGATCAGGATACGGTCTGAAGCCAGGTGTGCCGATGGGTCAGATTTGGGCGGCGATCAAAAGAGGGAAGGAAAGGACAGCTTCCAAATGTCTAGCCTGAGCCACGGGAGAACAGAGCATCGTCTCCTACGACGGGAAGGGCGGGCGGGCGGGAGACGCGCTTGTTGACTAAAGAACTGGAGCTTGGTTGGAGGCGGGTGCCCATTAGACATCCAAGTGAGGGGGGTCTGGCCTTCAGAGATGTCCCGGCTGGAGATACACACCTGGAGGTAGGTGTTCAGCACCTTGAGGCCAAGTGAGGAGAGGGGAGTGAGGACAGGAGTCAGGGGTCCCAGCACTGGGCTCTAATGGTTACTCCATGTTTAGAGGTCAGGGTTCCACAGTTCCTGGAAGCGGGGACTGAGGAAGTGGGGCAGTGAGCCAGGGCAGGCTCAGGAGAGAGTAGAATGTCCCAGAATCAAGTGAAGACAGTATCGAGGAGGAGGGAGAACTCAGTGGTGTCAGATGCTGTTGATTCTTCAAGGAAGAGGAGAACCAAGAACTGCCTGCTGGATTTCACAATTCGGAGTCATGGGTGTCCCGGAGGAGGGAGACTGTTCTCTGATCATGACAGAATTATCCAGAAATAAAAAACAGAATGATCACTGGGTGTGGTGGCGCATGCCTATAATCCCAGCTGTTTGGGAGGCTGAGGCAGGAGGATCATGGGTTCAAAGCCAGCCTCAGCAATAGTGAGGCACTAAGCAACTCAGTGAGGCCCTGACTTTAAATAAAGTACAAAATGGGGCTGGGGATGTGGCTCAGGGGTTGAGTGCCCCTGAGTTCAATCTCCAGTACAAACAAACAAACAAAAAAAAAACCAGAAAGATCTCCAGAAAATAATAATTAAAGTAAGCAAAACAGTTTAAATAACCAGTAGGGCAAGGAAGAATTCTCAATGGGAAGTTTAGATTGAAAGATCATAAAAATATGACATATCCAAGATCTTATGGGGCTGGGGATGGAGTTAAGTGATAGAGTGCTTGCCTCATGTGAGCAAGGTCCTGGTTTGATCCTCAGTACCGCAAACAACAACAAAAAGAGAATCTCCCCTGAGTCTTTATGGGATGAAGTTAAAGCCATATTTAAGGTGAAGTTCATATCCTAAAATGCACAAATTAGAAAAGAATGATCAAAAACTAAGTAGCTGGGCACAGTGGCACATACCTGTAATCCCAGCAACTCAGGAGGCTGAGGCAGGAGGATCACAAATTCAAGGCCTAAGGCAGGAGGATCAAAAGTTCTGGGCTACTTAGTGAGACCCTGTCTCAAAATAAAAATATTTAAAGGACAGGGGATGTAGTTCAGTGGTAGAGCACCCCTAGGTTCAGTGCCCAGTACTGCCCAAAAAGAAGAAGAAAGAGAATTTAAAAATCCTTCCCAGAGGTCTTAGGCAGTACAATAAAGTAGGGGAGAGAAAGGAGGTGGGAAGATTAGAAAGAAAAAAGTCAAATTTTGATGATTCATAGAGGACATGAATAGGCTCCGAGAAAATCCAAAGGAATCTACAGAGAAAGTATCAGAATTAATGAGTAAATTCAGCAAGATCACTCTATATAATGCCWATATGCAAATCAATCACATCTCTGCATACCAGCAGTAGGTGACTTGAAGACAGAGACAACACCTGTGCCCTAAAGCCTCATCAAGAGGGTCAATGACACCATCGGCGTCATCTATGACAGTGCTCGGCGCATAGTAGGCACACAGCCAACGTCTCCTGAGACCATTCTGATTGTTGTTCAAGTCATTTTTCTTTGCCCAGGTCCAGTCCCAGCTGGTGGACCCTTGTCTCCAGGGCTGAGCAAAGTCCCATGGTCTCTTCTCACACCTCCTTTCTGGTCCTGAACCACTCCTGGGACCCGCAGACAGTTGGGCCTCTGCCATACTCTCGAGTCAGCTGACCCCAGAGGATGCTGCACACAGGCAGCAAGATGCTTCAGTTGAAAGAGAGTCTCCTCCATTAAAAACAACCTTAGAGAAGGCTATTTATTCATGTGGAAAAATATTCATGAGAGATTGTAACATGGGGAAGCTGCAAACTCCAATTTCCGTTCTTTCTTTCTTTCTTTTTTTTTTTTTTTTTTTAAGAAAAGTGCCAGGCGTGGTGGCACAGGCCTGTCCTCCTAGCTATTTGGAAAGTGAGGCAGGAGGATCCTGAGTTCAAGGCCAGCCTGGGCAACTTGGTAAGACCCTGTGGCAAAAAAAAAAAAAAAAAAGACCTGGGATGTAGCTCAGCAGGGGAGTGCTTCCCTAGCAGGAGCAAGGCCCTGGATTTAATCTCCAATATCACAAGACAAATAAGAAAGGCCTGGAGCTGGGGGTGTAGCTCAGCAGGGAAGCTCATGTGTGAGGCCCTGGGTTCGACGCCTAGCATGAGAAAAAGTGAGCGCATACATAGGCCCCTTTCTAGGCATCCATAGAAAAAAATATATCTATATACACATATATGTACATATATACACTCCTTCGTGTGTGTGTGTGTGTGTGTGCGTGTGCGTGCATATCTGTGTGCACGTGGAGGCACACCAGCGCCCTCGTAGGGGCGTCCCACCAGTGGCTGGGCCACGGGGCCCCTGTGGGGGAGTCTGAGGCCACCCGTGAAGGAGCAGCTGGCGGGAACCCACTGCCTTGCTCTGGGAGCTGTTAACGCTGCCCCACGGGGACGTTCTGTGGGCCTCTCGGCCACCACCCCGTCCTCCGCCAGCGCTGCCCTGAACGTGCTCCGCGTGGGGTTTTGTGGCATCGGATGAAGCCCCGATTCCGCTGTGAATCAGTGGCGGGGACCGGAGCAGCGGAGGCTGAGAATGCCGGCCTGCGGAGGCCGCCACCCTGCAGGGCGTTGAACCCCCAGGCCCACAGAGAAGGGAGCCCAGCCCGAGGCTCTGGGTCCCACAGGACGGAGACGGGCTGACACCGGCGGCCTTTGCTCTCCACAGTGAGCTGAGAGTTTCCCAGCTGGCAAAGAAGGTTCTCGCCCTCCTCAGCCCCAGCCCCAGGGGCAGGCCTCGAGCTGCGGGTGGGGAGGCCGGGCCTCCTCTGGCCTCTCCCCGACCAGAATGATGAAGACCCTGGTGGAAAATGCTTGCCACCCAACAGGGTGTGGGACGCAGGGTCCCAGCTGTGTCCCGGCTGTGACAGCGAGGACAGAGGCAAAGCCTGAGGCGGGGAAGGCAGAGTGAACAGTGGGAAATCACCCGTCTAGGGGGTGGCTGGCGCCCAGCCTCTTCTTCTCATGGTTTTTGCTATTGCCACCTCTGTGTTTGTGCAATCAAAACAGGAAGAGGCTGTGAGCTGGTGGACGTCACGGGTCAGGAGGAGATTTCTTCATTCCCTCACTGCCCCTGGTTCCAGAAGTGGAGGGGGTGCCAGGGAGGGTGCCTCCCTGGGCAGGCCCACCAGGGGCCCGTGCCTGGGCTCCCCTTTCACCTTCACAGACATTCCACAGGTAGGAATTCCTGTGCCCATTTTTCAGATGAGGAGCTTGAGGTTCAGACAGGTCCACAGCTGGCACGGACTGAGCCGGGGAGGTGGGCCCTGAATGAGGCCCGAGCCAGGTGGAGGAGCCCAGGCCCTGGGACTCACCGTGTAGATGGATTCAGCCGGAGCCTGCGYGGGTCTGCTGGCCGAGCCTGGATCCGGGTGCTCCTTGGTGGTGCGCTTTTCTGGAGCCAGCATCTGTTTCTGGGGAGAGAAAGGAGCAGGCTGCTGGGGTTGGCATGAGCAGCTCCAGGTCCCTCTACCTCACAAGCCACCAGGAGAAAGGGAGGCAGCCGTCACAGACCACACAGAAATCCATCCCTCACACCTTCCACCAGGCTTCCGGGAGGCGAAGCCAATGTCTCCGGCACCTACAGGCCACCACGTGTGTGCCCGCGTGTGCCCGCGTGTGCCCGCGCTTAGGAACCCAAACCACGGGGGCAGAGGACTGGCACAGGGGAGGCAGGGGCTGCAGGGCCTGGTGCCAGCGTGGCAGGACCCAGACCTGGAGCTGAGGCTGTGGGTGGGCCCAAGCACGTGCCAGTCAGCTGGGCCTCGGGTCCCTCTGGCCCGGAGCAGGCCCCGGCCCGCCCACCCCTGGCCTCCGAAACAGCCCTCCTTTTTGAGACTGTTCAAGTATTGGAGCCGGCGAGGGCGAGCCCGGCGGCCAGCACACGCCGTCAGGCCGAGGTGCAGCCTTCCTGGCCTCCTGGACTCCAGGGCCTTCGGAGGGATGGACAGAGAACCGACGGCGCCACCAAAATGCGGTGCGTGAGCGAGGGGCACGGAGAGGAGGAGACCAGAGGCCCTCGAGGCCACGCGGGCAGGATCTGGAGACAGAATCCAGCAGCCAGGCGTGGGACGCGTCCCAGGCACAGGGACCAGCACGCCCCGGGCCCGAGAGGAGGCCAGCGCGGCCGGCAGGTGGACCTGCCCAAGGTCAGGACGGCTGCGTGGACGGTGTGGGGGGACGGAGGCCAGCGAGGGGAGCCCCCGGGGCACTGGTGGAGCCGGGCRGGCCTGGGGAAGGCCAAGGGCCCACGACAGTCGGAGGCGCAGAGGGGGCGGCCGGACGACCCCTCATCACAGGCACCACGCTGCCAAGAGTGGAGCGACGCCGCCTCGTCGCGGGGCAGGAGCTAATTAAAAACCCTGGCGGCCTGCCAGCCCCAGCCCATTTACTCGGGATTAGCTCTGAGAGCCACTTAACTCGCAGGCAGCAGCCGCGCCGCCCCAGTCCCAGCGCTGTAATGGCTGGGAACACGGAGCCCAGCAGGGCTCTGCTTTATCTCTCGGCCTCATCCAACCTGCAGACAACCAGCCCTCCGTCCCCTCTGCTCTGCACAGGAGGAAGTGAAGGCTCAGAGAGGGCAGGGGCCTTGCCAAGGCCACACAGCCAGGAAGCATCTGAGGCAGCACTCGAACCCAGGCCCGCGTTCCACCGAGACGCTGACCGACTTCGCCTGGAGGTCTGCTCCACCTGTCTTGCTAAATGGCAGGTCTCACGGACGCTGTTGGACAGGCGCTGGCATGTGTGCGGTTCTTTACAGTTGACAAAGACCCCTGGGACTTGTCCTTATTCTCATTTAATTCTTGTCACAGCCTGAGGAGGTGGGCAGGGATGGCCACCTAACCAAGAGGAGACTGAGGCTCGTCCAGCTGGGAAATGGCTGCCCTCCGAACAGGCCTAGGGGTCCTGTCCTCAAATCCCCTGCACTGCAGCTTCTGGAGGCCACCATTTCTGTCAGAGGTGATGGTCACCCCGGGCACCTCGGTGCCTCTTCTTGTCAAGACAACTGGGATCCCAGTCCTCTCCCCGGCCAGCCAGCCGGCCCCGGGGTGGCCAAGGGTGGGGATAGGAGCGCCCAGGCAGGGCTCTCCTGAGGCCCCCTGGGACCAGCTGTCCGCAAAGTGCGGCCCCTGGATGCCAGACACCTCCCCAGGCGCACGCTGGGCCTGGCTGGGCACGGAGGACACCATGGTGTGGCCTCCTGGGCCTCCCAGTGGGTGGGTGCGCTCCTCCCTGACATCCAGGGAGGCGAGTGCCCCTGGGGGTCCCAGGAAGGAGCCCCAAGCCTGCAGGCGAGTTGGTGTGCAGAGGAGCAGGACGGGAAGGGAGAGGAGAGCCGGGAGGCGGCCAGGCAAGGTCACAAAAGGTCGAGCGCCGTGTCTTTACCCTGTGGACAGCGGTCCACCCGGGCAGGGGGTGGTCAGGTCTGCATTTTGTGGGCTCCCTCTGGTCCCCAGGCGAAGGGTGATGGGAGGTTGGGGCAGTGGGAGAAGGTGGGGGGCCTCCCAGCGGGGGCTCAGGAAGCCTGGGCCTGGCAGAGGGGGCTCCGTGGGAGAGCAGATGGGGGCCACTTTGCTGTCGTCGCAGGTGTGAGAGGCTCTGTCCCTGGAGCCAGCTCTGCCTGGTCAAGCTGTGGGCCTTTGTCCTTTCAAAGGTGATTTTTTTTTTTTTTTGGTACCAGGGATTGACCCCCAGGGCACTTAACCACTGAGCCACACCCCAGCCCTTTTCCTATTTATTTAGAGACAGGGTCTCACTGAGTTGCTCCGTCTGGCTTTGAACTTGAGCTCCTCCTGCCTCAGCCTCCTGAGCTGCTGGGATTCCAGGTGAGGGCCACTGTGCCCGGTGATTTCCAAGTGGAGAAACCGTCCAGGGCAGCCCCCTGGCCAAACCCAGCACAGGCGGAGGGAGGGTGGCCAGGCCTGGCCGAGCCCCGCTCCGCACACCAGGGCTGATGCCTGGCCACCCTTAGTGTCCTCCTCTGAAATGGGAGGGACAGTGCTGCCTTGCCCATGTTGTGCCCGGTCACCTCCAAGTCACTTCTGGTGTCAGTGTGCCTGTCACCTGTCATTCCACCCACAAGCACTGACGAGGTGCCAGGGCTCCCCAGGACACACCAAGTCCCCACCCTGCAGGGGCCGCGCTCTGGAGGGGTGAGCCGTGGGAACCCAGGAGCCAGCGCGGTCAGCGGAGGACAGAAGGCAGAGGGGGAGGCAGAGGCCTGTGTTCCAGAAGAGGGGTGATGAGGTCGCGGGACCAGGTGGGCAGCAAGGGAGAAGGGGCTGGCCCTGGGCAGACTGTGGGGTCAGATGGGCTGAGAGGGGAGGAATACAAGCCCCAGGCTTGGGCCTGAGGGTCTGGGTGCCCAAGGCCATGGGCTGGGATGCGGAAGACTGCGGGGTGTGGGGGGGGGTGGGAGGGGTGGGGGGCGTCAGAGGGCTGCTCTGGACATCAGATGGGGAGGCCCTGGGGGGAGCTCCGAGGGCTATGGGGGTGTCTCGGTGCACGGGGAATGTAGCCCCCGGAACGGAGTCCCCCCAGGGAAGAGCTCCGAGGAGGGAGCCTGGACTGTGCCAAGGCCCTGTGGCCCTCCAGCCAGGTCAGGGCTCCTGTCATGCAGGCGCCGTGGTCACCTCCATTTCCAAGGCGGAGGCCTGTGCTGGTCTCCGAGCACCCGGCTCCCCTGGGGCCCTGCATTCCCCTTGCAGCCCCACTGGGGAAACGGAGGCATSGGGGAGGCCAGCGCCCTGCCCACCCTGGGTGCTTCTGCTGTGTGTCCGTCCCGTACCTTTTTCCAGAGCAGCAGAGCTGTGCCCAGCACGCCCAGGGCAGTCAGGAGGCCGGTGAAGCTAAAGAGCAGGGGCTTCTGGACGCTCTGCGGGGGGTCCCGGTACCCTGCGTCTAGGAGGAAGAGCAGGGGAGCGGAGGGTGAGTCCCCGGGAGGAGCCGGGCCCAGCCTCACCCACCCGGCCCGCAGCCCCACGCGGCCCCCAGCTCCTCGTCTCAGGCTCGCTTTGCTGAGCCTCGTGGGTAAGTGGCCTGCCTCGGGTTTCTGGAAAGACAAGGGCGTGTCCTGGGCTTCTTTAGGGCCTGCCTTGGTGAACCGGCTCCCCGGGGGCTGCCTGTGGGACCCAGGGYGAGTCACGTCGTCTTTTAGGGGCTCCCCTTTTCTCTATTTAAAATGGTGATAACGAGGATGGGTGTGGTGAGGGTTGGAGACAGGCTGGTACTGGGGCTGACAGGGGGCTGGGGGGACCCACATGGCCGCTCCCAAGCCCCCATCCATCTCTCCTTCTCTTGCTCCTTCTCTTTATCTGGTTGGCAAAAACAGAGTGCCACCCAAGGGGCAGGCGCATCAGTGCTATTTATCAAAGTTCCTCCTATTGCCCGACACCGGCCCGTGGGTGCAGGGCCTCACTGGGTGCAGTGACACGGGCCTGTAATCCAACAACTTGGGAGGCCGAGGCAGGAGGACCACAAATTTGAGGCCAGCSTCCGCCAGTGAGTGAGACCCTGTCTCACAATAAAAAATAAAAAGGGCTGGGGATGCGGCTCATTGGGAAAGTGTCCGGCCCCTTTCAGTGGGAATCCCAGAGGAGGCCAGAGAATATGGCTTTGGTGATAGGCTTGTTCTTAACTTTCAGGGGTCTCACGTCTTTAAGAATGTGGTCAAAACTAGGAATTTGTCCCCAGAAAGATGATCTTACCCACGTCCACACACCTGACTCTGCAGAGACCCCCTCCCCCTCCCCCGTAGTGCTCATGGGACCCTGAGACCAAATGACCTCTCTGAGGTCACCTGCCAGAGGTGGCTAGAGGCAGAGCCACAGCCCCGCCCCTCCCCAGCCCCTTTCTACCCCTTCGGGCAGGGGGCTCTCTGGGGACGCTCGGTTCTGCTTGGCCAACGCTGAAGGTCAGGGCCGCCAGCTCCCCCTTCACACCCTGGGCCCCCAGCTCTGCCAGGGACCCCAGCAGCGCTCACCCTGGAGGAGGCAGAGGGGCCTCACCTCTGACCAGGATGAAGGTGCCGTTGCCAGCGACGGCGACCTCGGAGCTCGGCCAGAGGAGGCAGCAGTAGTAGGAGCCTGTGGCCGAGGCGTTGGGCAGCCTGAGGGTGACCCTGCAGTCCAGCGTGTAGGTCTGGTTCTCGGCGCCCGGGGCGGGTCGGCAGCCGGTGGGCTGCTTCCTGCTGGTCCTGCCCTGGAGATCCACGTGGAAGTAGCTGACAGTGAAGGGCTGGAATTTGGGGGTGTACTGGTAGGTGATTTTGCAGGTGAAGGAGACGGCTGAGTTGGCCAGGGAGGCCACAATGGGGAGGCCAGTGTGGGTCACCGACTGCCCTCCTGCAGGAGAAGCAACAGGAGACAGGTCACATGAGGCTACCTCCACCTCACTCCTCCCACGCCCTCACCAGGCACAGATGTGGTGCTGAGCGCGACACACACCACGACCCCTCTCCTGATCCACCCCGAGGCCAGGCAAGAGCCCTGTTTGGCAGAGGAAGAGACTGAGGGTCAGAGAGGTCAAGTCACTAGCTCCCGATCCCTCACCAGGGCGGTGCTCCCAATCCCTCGCCCCCCCCCCCCACAAAGGCCAAGAGGCTGCGCTGAATAAAAGCACAGCTGGAGAATGAGGAGCAAAGAGGCAGGAAAGTGCAATGAACCCCAGAGTTTCCTGGCCGTGCTCCCACACCTCTCGGTGMCAGAGGACGAGGCAGGTGGCCAGGCAGCCGAGGGGACGGGCCTTTCCCAGAATCACAGCTCGGGGGGGATTTGTCAAGTTGCTGTGGAGTATAACAGTGAGACCCCAGAGGGGAGCCGTTTCCAACCACGCAGAGCACTCCACGTGTGGCGCTCCAGCCGTGACCGTGGCGCTCAGCGCTGCGGCGGTCAGTTCCACAGCTGCCGCCCCTCCCCCTCCCGCACAGCAGAGCTCTCAGGAAAAAATCCAAGACCCCGAAGCCACGGCCGGCCTGGCTGGGGTCCTGACCCCTCCTGCGGGCCGCTGAGATGCCGCTGACACCCAGGCTCTCCGCGGCCGGGCTCAGCACTCCCTCTCCGGGGCCTTCCTGTCCGGCCGCAGACAGTTTTAAATTGGGGTCGGCAGCAAGCAGCCGGGAACACGCAGGCCGCCTTGTTAATCGGGAGAAGATCGTGCGTGTGAGAGGCTCGGAGGGAGCCAGGAGATTTATTTTGCTGGAGAAAGTGAGGCGTGGGCCTCCTGCCGGTGGAGGAGGCTGGCCTGAGGCCAGGCCTCTCTTCCCAGGTCCCTGGGGGAAGCCAGGCCTTCCAGGAGACCCGGGCGGGATGAAGCTGGCTCTCCATGCCCGTGTAGCTCTGGATGTGTTGATATTTGGGGTTTCCCGTTGAGCATTAGATAGATACGCCCTGCCCCCAAAGACCTGAAGACTCGGTTCCAGAGAACCCACCGGTGTCCACGGTCACTTTGAGTCACTTTGTGATGATGAACACGACAGCGCTCACTGTGGCAGTAGCCACTGAGCAGGCAGCGGGCCCCCTCGGGGGGCAGGGACCCCTGTGGCTGCCCCTGGGCTCCCCTGGTGAGCAGGTCAGGAGGGGTGTGGCAGGGTCCTTTGTATTCCTGGACTYGGGGGCAGGTTACAGTTTTGCAAAATCAACCTATTTGTTTTGTCATAAAACAGAGGTTCAGAACAGAGGTTGTCTGAGAGGCAGCAGGCAGGGAAGAAGGGGCAGGGGCGGGGACCCTCTGGGGTCCCCTGGATGCTGGGAGGACCAGAGGGTAGGGTGATCCCTGAAGGACACGGCTCTTCACTCCACCCAGCAAGCCCCAGGCACAAGCCCACTCTTCCTGTGGCCCCGTAGTGGCCTCCATTGCTCACATGGCCTCAGGCCCCAGACTCGGCTCAGGAGTGAGGGCGGCGGGCCCAGCTGGTCCAGGGTTTCCTCACGAGGAGTTGAGATTACAACCCAATCAAAGCCACCAAGGAAGTGCCCCCCAGGGAGCTCACTGAGACCTCTCTTCTGCGGGGACCTGCTGCTCCTCCTCCAGTGCATTAAGAGGCCACCCAGGACTGGGGGAGCGGGGACCTCCTGCCAGCTCCAGCCCCTTCCCATCTGTCCTGCAGGAAGACGTTCATCTGATTGTCTTGAAAAACTCTCCCTATCGGAGGTCCCCTCCTGGAAAACGCGGGGACCTGCACTGCGATGAGGCTGATCTTCGTGCATCCTGGGATTCTGTGAAAGCAGACACCCACGGTTCCACAGCCTCCTGCGGTTCGTTATTGTAAGGTCAGAGGTCAGGATCTCGAAAGGGCCAGCCCTGGCCCTGGTCAGCTGCAGGGAGCAGAGGCTTGGGAACGAGACCCTCGGGCCTCTGATGAAACTGCCGTCTCTCCAGAAAGTAGAGGGAGGAGGTGGCCTGCAGGGCTCCAGGAGTAAGCTCAGCCCATCCTCAGACATCAGGCCACCTGGGGGCACAGGGCTGGGGGACCCTGAGGCCCTGGCCTCCCCAGGATCGCCTGCTCTCTCCTTTGCTGGGCCTCAGCACCCATCCCGGCCCACGGCAGCTGCCCAGCTCCCTCACCTCTCCTGAACCTGAGCCCCAGAGGCCCCGGGGTTTGGGCTGAGGGGATCCAACCCCCTGTTCCAGTGGCCAGTTGAGGTCAGTACAGCAGGGAGGCCCACGGTCATTGACTTCCYCGTCCATGAGTGCGGTTCAGTTATCAGGTGGGGCCCGTCCTGGGCCTGGGGGCTCCCTGATCCGGCCACAGCCCAGGGTGACAGGCGAGGCTGACGTGGAGCAGATAGAGCCAGGGCAGGGGGACCGGTGGCCTGTCAGGGGTGGGGAGGGGCCTGTTGGTGACCTGGGCATCAGGAGGGCCTTCATGGCCTGGGAACAGGAGCACACAGTCAGCAGGGAAAGAGCATGATCTGGCTGGGTACGACACAGGCCCTGTGTCAATCAGACACCACCACAACTTGTCCTTTGAGACAACAATTGCAACCCCACTCCACAGGGAGAGAAACAGAAACAGATGGTCTCAGAGGCCCAGAGTTGCAGAGTGCAGGAGTGATGGAGCTGGGCTTTCCTCGGGGGCCGTCTGTGCCGAGGGAGAACCCAGGCTGGGAGCAGCGGTCAGAGACAGAGCCACGTGGGGGCGCGACAGGCTGAGGGCAGGTGTGCGCCGGGCAGCACCAGGCACAGGAGCCACCAGATGGGTTGGTCAGACTCTAGGCAGAAGTCCTAAGTTTGCATAGTCGATGGCTGAGAGGCCACTGCGAGAGCCCACGGCCTCGTGGAGTTACACCTCTGGATTATGTCTCATGGATCTTTGTCCCTTGTCCTGGCAAAGCCAGTGGGTCCCTCATGGGACAACGTGGGCCAGGGACAGTGAGCTGGCTCGGCGTCCTCTGAGACACCATTCACGCAGCTGCCTGGAGGGTACACACCCCGGAGGACTGGGAGAGCCAGGAGGGAGGGAGGGCCGCTGGGCCGTGCTCACACACCCAGGGGTCCCTGAGTGGTCCATGAGAGTGCCCCCGGAGACCACCCCAACACTGCAGGTTTCCAGAGCACAGCAGCACCCTGTTCCCAACACCGGGTGAGGAAGGACCCTGTCCCCACAACGCTCCTCTGCCCTCCCTGCCTCTGCCCAGAGGACCATGAGGAGGGGTCTGAGTGGCAAGAGACAGGAGGGGCCTGGTCCCACTTTCACACAGGCCCCAGGGGGCCGGGGAACGTGTCAATGGTCATCAAGTCAGAGTTTTGTCTATTACAGTTGAAGGTTTGCAGAACTAGGACTTAGCCTTGACTCTAAGGGGCCAGAGGACTGTGACTTGTTCAGAGTGACTGGGGCCACTGAGCCCCACTGGGACAATTCTTCCCATATGGAGGGTCTAAAGGGCCCAGGAGCGACTCCACGTGGTTTTTCTGATCATCCTCCAGGCCCTGCGGGCTCTCGGGGGCAGTGGGCTGGTAGACGTGGTGAGGACAGTGCCCCTGCCGGCTGCTCCTTCCAGAGTAGGGAAAGGAAAGGGGAGCGACTTGAAGGTCAGGTGCAGGGGAGCTGTTCTGAGGGAGTCCTGCAGCCTGCGAGAGGTGGACGGGTGGCACAGGGCAGAGAGGGGAGGAGGCACCCTGTGGGTGAGGGCCTTGGGAGCCAGGGGCAGGGGGAGGCTGGGGACAGAGCCAAACAGAGACAGAGCTAGCAAATGCTTGTGTCATGGTGCCTTCAAGGGCCTACCCTCCGCAGGGCCACCACCCTGCCCTAGTCCTGCTTGGCCTCAATCCTTCCTCCCCCACTTCACCCCCACCCGGCTGCCAGCAGAGGTGCCCCGGCAGGGAGCCCAGGCCACTGCTAAACCTGCCCAACCCACGTTTCAGGAGTCCTCAGGGGTGACACCTCCTGTACCCTGCAATTCTCTGCAATTTTCCAAGGCTCGGGAGAGGCTGAGAGGAAGCCTGGAGCTGGGCCAGAAATGGGGGCGGGGACAGAAGAGGCACAGAGAGCCCAGGTCCCGGAGGCAGCAGACACAGATTTGGGTCCTGGCTCTTCCACTAAAAGGCTGTGCAGCCTTGGGCATAGCCTTTACCTCTCTGAGCTTTGGTGTCTCCCTGCAACACAGGGAGAGGAACGATGGCATCCTGAGGGGGTTCCCGTGGGATTCATTGGGACCAGGAACTCACATGCCTGCCAGGAGGCCTCCCCTCAGCAGACAGGGAGGAGGCGGGGACGTCGGAGGAGTGCTCTCTGCAGAAGTTGTCTTGCCCTGTCTGCCCAAGTGACCCAAGTGGCCCACAACATCGGCAGGACAGAAGCCCTAGGGGCCTGTCTCTGCCTGGGCTTGTCTGCCACCCCAGGCCCTGTCTGACCGACCCTGGGTGTGACCCCGCTCCCCCCACCCCACCCCCGCTGCCGTGTAGCCCGAGCAGCAGAGCCCCCTCCTTCTGGTCCCCGCCTGCTCTGCGTGGTGGGAAGACCATCTACCACCCGCTGCTGCCGGGTTCTTCTCTCCTTAGGAATCTGAGGCTCCTGGACCTGCTGCCTGAGAGCTGGGTGGAGCCCCCCCCACCCCCGAGGGCACGTCCCTGACTGCTAGGGCCCAGGAGAGTCCCTGGTGGGAGGGATCGGATGCACAATCAAGGAACTTGACCACTCCCCCCACCCGTGTGTGGCCATCTGCACCACTTTCCTCTGGTTACCCCTGCTCAGGATCTGACCTCCTGCCCTGGCACGATACCTCGGGGCCCACCCAGCCCCGGGCCCAGGCAGCCCTCTGTGCCGGGCTCTGAGCTCCTGGGAGAGGTCCACACACCCCTCTTCCTCCTGCCCTGCTTGAACCGGCAGCGGCTCCCTGCTGGA